TATCTAGATAATGTTAAATGTGATACTTGTACAGAATCGAAATTTGCAAGTCAAAGCTTTAAATCAGTGCATGAAAAATCCAATGATATGTTAGATTTAATTCATAGTGACTTGTGTGATTTTAGATCATATCCAACTCGTGGTAGAAAGAACTATTATGTAACATTTATAGATGATTTCAGTAAGTATTGTTATGTTTATTTACTTCATAGCAAATATGAGACCTTGGATATGTTTAAGACATATAAGGCAGAAGTTGAAAATCAACTTAACAAGAAGATTAAAGTCTTAAGGTCCGATAGGGGAGGAGAATATGAGTCTCATGCATTTGCTGAATTTTGTGCCACATATGGCATAATTCATCAAACAACAGCCCCTTATACACCACAACAAAACGGTGTTGCCAAACAGAAAAATAAGACCTTTAAAGACATGATCAATTCCATGTTGAATAGCTTTGGGCTTCCACACAATATGTGGGGCGAAGCTTTACTTACTGCAAATAAAGTTTTGAATCGAATTCCACCTAAAACGAGAAAAGAGTCATCACGTTTAAATTGCTTAAAGTGTGGGGTTGCCTTGCAAAAGTACAAGTTCCATTTCCAAAGAGAACAAAATTAGGGCCTAAAACTATAGATTGTGTTTTTATTGGTTTTGCATCTAATAGTTCAGCTTATAGATTCTTAGTTTTTCAGTCCGAAGTAAGTGATATACATGTCAATACTATTATAGAATCTATAAATGCAATATTTTTTTAGGATATTTTTCCATACAAAATAGGCAAGTCTAATTTATTAAAAAAGAGATTACGTGATGATGTATCTGAGGTTACTAACGAACCTAGAGAACATGATGATGGTTCAACCTCATCTAGAGTTCAAGAAGAAGAAGAACTTGAACCTAGAAGGAGTAAAAGGACAAAAATTCGAAAGGACTTTGGGCCTGATTTTGTGACCTTATTAACCGAGACAGAACCTCAATCATTCAAGGAGGCCATGTCCACTCCTAAAGCTCCATTTTGGAAGGATGCAGTTAACAGTGAGATAGATGCCATTATGCAAAATCATACATGAGAATTAGTCGATTTGCCTCTTGGCAATAAGCCAATTGGGTACAAATGGATCTTTAAGAAGAAATTAAAACCAGATGGTACAATTGACAAATATAAGGCTCGTTTGGTAGCTAAAGGATACCGTCAAAAACATGGTTTGGATTTCTTTGATACATACTCACCTGCAACGAGAATTACTTCAATAAGACTATTGATTGCTATAGCTGCACTCCATAACATGGAAATACATCACATGGATGTAAAAACTGCGTTCTTAAATGGAGACTTAGATGAGGAAATATATATGGAACAACCCGAGGGGTTTGTAGTTAAAGGTAAAGAACACAAAGTGTGTAAACTTGTGAAATCGCTATATGGGCTTAAATAAGCTCCAAAGCAATGGCATGAAAAATTTGACCATGTTATGATCACACACGGTTTTAAGATAAATGAGTGTGATAAGTGTGTCTACACAAAAACTCAAAATAATGTTTGCGTTATGTTGTGTTTATATGTAGATGATATGCTTATAATGGGAACTAACAAAGAGATAATAAATTGGACCAAGAAGATACTGAAATCAAATTTCAATATGAAAGATCTTGGACTAGCTGATGTGATTCTTGGTGTAAAAATAAAGAGAAACCAAGAAGGATATATTGTTACTTAGTCCCATTATATAGAAGCTACACTTAGGAAATATGGTCATTTGGAAAGTAAAGATGCAATTACTCCTTTTGATGCCAATAGCAAACTTAAGAAAAATAAAGGTGATGTTATATCTCAACGTGAATACTCACAAGTTATTGGAAGCCTTATGTACATTATGAACTGTACAAGGCCTGATATAGCATACTCCCTGAGTAGACTGAGTAGATATACATGCAATCCTGGGCATGATCATTGGGAAGCTTTAATTCGAGTTTTGAGATACTTAAAGGATACAATGAATTATGGATTGCATTATATGAGGTATCCTCTTGTGCTTGAAGGATTTACTGATGCGAATTGGATATCAGATAGTACTGATACGAAATCCACAAGTGGATATGTATTTACTTTGGGAGGAGTAGCAGTATTTTGGAAATCTTCCAAACAAACATGCATAGCCCGATCAACTATGGAATCGGAATTTATAGCTCTCAATATGGCTGGAGGAGAAGCTGAATGGCTAAGAGATTTTTTGGAAGATGTTCCCATATGGCCTAAACCTGTAACGGCAATATGTATACACTGTGATAGTTTAGCTGCACAATATCGAGCTAAAAATAGTGTATACAATGGGAAGTCCAGACAAATTAGATGAAAGCATAATACAATAAAGCAATGGCTCTCTAGTGGTGTAATTTCTATTGACTATGTCAAGTCAAAAGATAATATTGCAGATCCGCTTACTAAAGGCTTATCTAGAGAGCAAGTTAAGCATACATCGAGGGGAATGGGTTTAAAGCCAATAGAGTAAAATGAAACTACCAAACGGAAACCTAACCTAGTTGATTGGAGATCCCATGGTCTAGGTTCAATAGGCAAACTGGTTTGGCTAGATTAAAAAAGAAACACACTTACATACCCATTCATATGATGGAAGAAGTGTGGTGACTGCTGATGGTGTAGGATACATTAGTTTAATGATATTGGTACTTGTAAATCAAGTGGAATAGTAACAGCCTATTCATAATCAATATCACCTATATGAGAGTAAATGTGGAGTCGCATTTATGAGAATTACATGGCTACATTCTCTAAAGCTCTCATGAATCCAGGATTTGTTCAGGATTAAAATGAACACAAACGTATGAATTTGCGATGTGTTGGTGTGACATATGTTTTGCTTATTGTCTTGGTTTACTGCGAAGATGAACAGTTCAAGATTTTATATTCACTGCGTCATCTAGTAAATCCGATAAGTATATACTAAGGTAGGTTCAAGTCCAAAAGATACCTCTCCTGATGTATGTCACATCTATTGCTTACTCTCGTGTCTCAGTTTCTCTAGGACCAAATAATCATCTCAAAATGTGGGTTATTGTTAGAGTTTTGAAAATCTTGTCCCACATTGGAGAAAACAAGATTCTCAATGACCTTTATATATGTTTTGTCCTCTACAATATTAGTTAGGTGTTGGACCACTTGGAATGGGGATTAGGCTTGGGCCACCATTTGTGTGGATTGGGCTTGATGATTATACCATAATATTAATATAATTAAAATTAATCTGATCAATTAATTTTAATTTTCTAATTAAGTTTTTAATTAACATTTATTAAAAACGTTTTGATTAATAGACACAACTCTTTGTAAAGAGTTGTATAGCTTCAGATACATCCAAAAGGTATTTGAAGAGGTATGAAAGAGCCTATATAACTGGAGTCCTCAGTTCCATTCCAGACATCTTTTATTCCTCCTTGCTTCTATACGAAATTTCCAGATAGTAAACACACAAAGCAAATTCGCTATAATTCTATAATTCAGTGCAGGTTGTAGAATTAGGTAGTTGAATCCGGGTCGAGCAGACATTGTTGAACCACAAGCACAAGAGTGGGACGGAAATACTGTTCGAAGGACATAGCTATTACGCTAGCCTCTACCTTCTGTAATCACGTTAGTACCATTGATATTCTTGTATTTATTTCTGTATTATTGTGTAATTTTTGTTTTGCATAGCAAGTGTATTTTGGTTAATAAAATATTAGGATTTCTATTATTTTTGTTTATTTATGAATTGTTCTCCAACTCATGATACTCTTGTCTGCAACTTATTTTGTTGCATTTCTTTCCATAAAAATATTCTTGCTAATAAGATGAGGTAAACTGTTTGAAAATTGAATGCAAGACATGTAGGGCTCGTTTGGATGTGCTTTTAAAATGACTGAAAGCGCTTTTAGAGAAAATGTTTTTTGGTTTCAAAAGTACTTAGTGATTTCTGCAAGAAGCACCAGTTATGTGCTTCTTCCAAGAAGCACTTTAAGTGCTTTTCCAGAATTTACTTGCATTTTTACTAAGGATTGGTTCCAAAAACATTTTCACCAAAAATGCTTTCAACCATTTTAAAAGCACATCCAAACAAGCTAGTAGACTTTGAGGAAATGGTTAATGGTGGAAAAATACCAATACAAGTGTTATCTTTAATACGATAACAGATTTTTATAATTGTTCAGCATAGAGATATCTACTTTTTGTTTATTTTTTTACTATACCTTAACTTCGTGTTAGCAGAGTAGTTGTGCATCTAAATTCCAAATTATATATATACTAAATGAGTAACTTTTCAGTTAATTCCCTTTGTGTCCTTTTCACTGTTCCTTCGACGGTGCTTTTCCTTTTTTACCCTTTTTGTGTTTCTGTGGACACTGTTTATTGTACAGTGTAATTCCACTTTTGCCCCTGCTTCTTTCTTTCATTCCACTTCTGCCTGGAAGGAGGCTTTAGAAACTGGACTCTTCTAATTTTGTCCCTTCTTGGTTTTGTTTACTTCGTTTCTGCCACAACAGACATCTCTCTAAATTTTTTATAAATTTTGATTTTGCCTCTTCTCAACTCTCATTCTTCTGCTTCATTTTTGTCTCTCTGGGAAGGGAAAGATCTGGATGTACACGTGTGGATCATCTAGGAAGGAAAATAGGTTAAAGGTACGCGTGTTGATCATCTGGGATGGGAGGGAGTGTCTCTCAAAAATCTCAAAAGTAAAAAGCTGCCGACATGGAAGAGACATCCTAATTATCCCTCTAATTTTTTTTATATTATTTCCTCTGCATGCCATTCTATAAGGACCTGGATTGTCTGCCCTCCCATTTCGGTGCCCTTCCCGTGCCCTCCTATTTTGTGTGGTCACAGTTAAGCCACGTCAACATTTTATATTGTTTTTTATAAAAATAATAAAATAAAATAAAATAATAATATAAAATGTTGACGTGACTTAACCGTGATCACACAAACAGAAGGGCATGAGGAGGGCACCGAAATAGGAGGGCAGACAATCCAAGTCCATTCCATAATCCTTTGCCATCTTCCCTCTGTCTGTGCCCACAATCAAATACACTACCTCTCTCTCTCCTCTCCTTCTTCTCTCTCTCTCTGTGGGTCTCTCCTCACATCCAAGGAAGATGCAAGAACAGTCAGTAGAGCTTCCAACACAGACTATTCCTCACTGTGAACCATCAAAGCATTCTGATCTGCAATTTGACCGCCTGCAACCATCGGATGAAGATTTAGATGAAGAAAAAGTTGGAATTTGGACGGTTGTTTAATCTGATTGGGTTTTTTTTGTTTCAGGAAAATTGGTGTGCGAATTCGAGGGTTTTTGTGTACAACCTTGCAAACCCCTTCTGATTAAGGTCTGAGTTTTTTTTCTTTGAAATATTTTCTTCTTTTTTTCGATGATTTGTGTGTGGCTGTTTGATTTAATTTGATTTTTTGTTTTAGGAAATCTTGGTCTTCGAGATTTAAGGTTTTCGTGTAGATCGATTGCTTGATTGATGTAAAATTGATGTAAAATTAAAGTCCTTTTTTTTTCTCTCTAAAACTCTGTTTTACTGTGTTGTTTCTGTTGCAGGTGGCGGGGTTTGCTTGGTTTTGTGCTCTGGTCTCAGAAATTGAATAGTTTTTTTTTTTTGGTGGTTTCGTGCTATCTTCAACTCCAAGTGTAAAGTCCAGGGAGCAAAAATTGGGCAATCACAATTATTATTGGTATTTATATTTAATTTTTAACTCAGTTTAATTAATTAATTTTTTTCACCAATTAATTTGAATTATGTGGTGAAATGATCATATATAATTAAATTTATTAGTTTGCTATTTTTTTTTTTTTTTTTTGAGCGGAGGCACAAAAATTTCTTAGGTAAAGTTCCTCTGCCCTTCTCCATCTTTTAAAACGAAGCCTTTGCACACAACTTCGTTTTTCCAAGTATTTTTTATGTGCTGCTGTCAATAGTCATCAGTTTTTAGGCACACAACACAAGTGTTCGTATGGATTAGAATTTGATGAAATTACACTGATTTGGATGATATTGATCAAATGAATGAGTTAGAAATTGAAAATTACAATAGTTTTATTAACTCTTTTAATTCTTTCCGTTTTTACCCTTCTTTGTTTCTTTGGTCTTTTCGCTCTTCAGTCTTCTGCTTGGTTTTTGTCTATCTGAGAAGGGAATAATCTAGATGTACACATGTGGATCATCTAGGAAGGGAAGGAGGTAGAATATACACGTGTTCATCTGGTTGTGGGAGGGAGACTTGACAAGTTGGCTAATAAAGAAATTATCTGGTCTTTGTTTTTTTTATCATCTACTTTTTCTGCATGTAGACAAAACACCCTGCTTTTTTTATTATCATCTACTTTTTCTGCATGCAGAAAAAACAAGTGCAGCTTTCCAATTGTGATCAAGATTATTATACATATTTATATTTATTTATTATTTACACTAAAACAAGGTGTACTCTTGACCATTCTCTTTTTCATCACTTTGTAATGATAACAACCACCACTATTACATCTCACAATACATAAGGATTTGATTGTTTATTTAAAATATTGTTGGCTTTTAAAAATTTGACCCGTTATGAGATTTTTCTTCAAATCAGGCTTTTGTTGGGTGTGTGAGAATGTGAAAAGTTTGTCTCTTTTGTGTGATTTAAATGTTTTTTCTTGGTAGGCTAATATCAAACAATATTATCAAATAGACATTTGTCGTATTAGTAATGTCAGTACCCATATAATGACTTTGGACATTATTAAATGGGATGGTAGGTATTGGTCTCCTTGGCTTTTTTTTTTTTTGTGTATTTTATATTGTCAAATAGGAACAATGGGGTTGTATGGTCAACAGTACACCCAGTTTTTGTATAGAAATAATAAATAAATATAAATACACACTTTTGTTATATGTTATGATTTGTTGTATAGAGAATTGAGAAAAAAGTTAAAAAGGCAATCCCGTGTTTTTGAGTTACATCTATTAGTAAATATATAATGACATCGATTAGTTCACTTGAGAGTAGTTCACTTGAGAGTCTAATCATGGGGTGTGCTATCCATACTCCATTTTACTTCTCACACACCCCTTGATAATTTATGTCCGTTGATATTCTTCAATTCATCTGATCTGACGGTCGAAAATTAAAAAGGTGTGTGAGAAGTAAAATGGGGTGTGTAGATATCACACCCCTTAATCATTCGTTGGTTTATTTGTATTGTGTGCTTGAGAATGAAAGCAATGGATAAGGCATATTAGCAATTATATGAAGTAGGCATATTATGCAATACAAGTTCTACATTCATTTAGTAAATATTGAGTTTATTTTTATCGAATAGTGATATTTGATTCATGTTTAAGCTTCTTAAATGTTTGTATTTTGAAAATTGATTTCAATGGTCTTTTATGAATTTTTTTTTTGCTTACATAATTATGTGCTGCTTCAAGGACACCTACTGCAATGGGCACAACTTATGAGACTCAGAAGGAATGAGGACTGCTCCTTCCTCTTCTAGATGATCCCCTGCTTAATGATCATGAGTTTGAAAATCTTTGGCAATGATTTCAAAACATAGAAATTTTTTTTTGTTAGCATTCCATCGACAATTAATAAAGGTTTGTTGTAATTTTTTTCCTCTGTTGGATGTGTTCTAATGTTGGATGTGTTCTAATGATATGTTTTCCATTGCACAACTTATGAATTGTTCTCTTTATCTTTCAAACATAATCTTCCATACAATTTTCAACCCCGCAGCAGAGCGCGGGTCAAAGTTTCTAGTTTACATCTAAAAGCATGTTTTCCAGGTTTTATTTTCAAAGATGGGAACCGTTTACTAACCATATACAACTCTATTTTTTTTTTTTTTTTTTTTTGTCATTCTAGACTATTACTAACTATATACAAATCTTTCATTGCCAGTTGCCGTTCTGAAGAATAACTTGGGTGCTGCTAGGTCAATTAGCTTTTCATCAGATGGTCAGTTCATGGTGGTCACGAAACCTGCAGATTTTGTGCATATATATAGCACAAAGGCAGATTACAAAGTGCGGCAAGAGATTGATTTCTTTGGGGAGATATCAATGAGTCCCGATGACAAGTCTCTATATATAGAAATCTGGGACCGAACCATCTGGAGAGAAAAACCTGCAAGATGAGGAAGTAATCTTATCTCTTGGTTTCACCAGTTTTATGGTTTATTTTTGTTTATGTTTTCCTTTGTTTTTGTCCATTGTATGAGAGGTTTTGTTTCCTAGTGGTTTATATTTTTTTTTTATTAATATATTTTCTGTCGGTTTTATCCGATAGAGAATGCTCTTTATTCATTATTAATAAATTCTTTGTCAGTTATATCCGACACAAGTTTTGTCGGTTTTAGAGTATTTGCTGTCGGTTTTATCCGACAGAGAATACTCTTATTTATTCATTATTAATATATTCTCTGTCGGTTATATCCAACACAATTTCTACCGGTTTTACGGTATTTTCTGTCAGAAAATTCATTTCCTGACGCTGGCAATTATGTCGCTTATTATATCCGCCACTGCATCCATTTTCTGTTGGATTTTGCTTAATATCTGACAATAATATACGTTTCTTGTCGATTATCATAGCGACACTAATAAAGGGTTTCGTAGTAGTGACAAGGGTACAAACATTGTACATGAATCAGTGATGCGAAATATATAAGCACACAAATTAAACCCTCTTTTTATCAATTGTAGTAAAGTATGTAAGTAGGGATCGTTCTAGGCCGGGGATTAGGAGGGATTGCTAAATCACTTGGAAACTGACTTGAAAACGTAAAAACAAAGTTTAAAACACTAACTAGACTCAAAAGAATGCAAAACTATACTTTAAAACTAAAACAAACCAAAAGACTCAAAACAGCCCATGAACACTCAAAACTACCTTAAACACACAATCTGGGCAGTTTTGGGACTCTAACACAAACTTGGACGAATTTTGGTTTTCTAATGAACGAAAACACTTAAAAACATAATCTAAGACAAGTTCTAATTAATATGACTCAAAGAAATAAGATGGGGTTGATTTTGGACGAAAATAATTAAATTAAGACAAGAACAAAGTAAACAAATTCTTAGACAAATTTAAGTGAATCAAAACAGATTGTAAAATGAATTTGAATGAAACTTATGGATGGAAGGCTAGCTAAGAGGTTCTTCTCCACACATGTCACACTTGCATACAAAACGATTTCCAGTTGCTTTTCGATAAGCTATGAATACTCAACGCCCCAAATTAACCGTGAATTGCACTAATTAACCCTAAGTTTTTCCACAAGTTATTGGGTTGGATGATTGCATACGACAACCCAAAACATTCCCTACAAGTTCCCTACATGAATTGCATAATAGAGATACAAGCAAGAATCATTAAGTTCTATGAAAAACATAAGCATTGACGAGGCACTCGTTACTATGATTTGCATGAAACTTATGCCAAGAATTTACTTAACGTGATTGTGACTAGCAACCTTCACTACTTGTGAATATAAGTTCATAACGATTAGGTGAAACTCCCTTATATTCTAGCGTTAAATTCATGCATGAAAATTAAGCGTGCACTCTCAACCAACATACACAAATCATTTCTTATACGATCGGATAAGTAAATTGAATTCACAACTTATGAATCACAACTGGATGTAATCAAATCATATTGCAAGTATGAACATGATTTCGAATCACCCCCTAACTAAGAGGGATTTAGTTCCTCATACTCACAAAGCAAAGATACATAAAATTAGACATTAAAATCAAAGGAAAGAAAACACCTAAAATGCTCCAACTTGGGTAGCAAGTGCATCCAAGAATTCTCCTTTGCTTGCTTGCGGCAGATTGCTTTGTGGACGGATTTTTGGGTAGTTTTATGATGTAGAATGGATGGGGAATGGTATGGAAAGGTTTAGGGTAAATGTGGAGGAGTGTTTGAGGGTTGGAGGGTGGTGGAGAACTAGGCAAAGAGGGTGGAAGAAGGTGGAGTGGCTGTTATGTTTTCTAGGCACTAGAATGGTGTTTTTGGGGTGTTTTGCTACGTAGAGGTTGTATGGACGAATTTTCTGTGATGAATGAAGAATATGAGAGTGTGAACCCTTTGCCAAGGGTTGTAAACATGTATATATAGGCCCCAAAAACCTTAGAGAATCAGGTTAGGCTAGGGAGAATGCACGGCAAAGAGTGTATGTGGTGTGCAATGGTCCAAGGGTGAAAATGAAGTGATGATGCAAAGTGTGAAGGGTAAAATGGAGTGGTCTTGTAGCTAGAGGGCATGAATGATTGTGTACATTGCATAGAGATGGAAAGGGAGGTGAAAATGTGTCAATAAATGGGTCAAAGGTGCAGCAACATGTGGTACACAAGGCATGGGATTCCAAATGTGAATGATGGAGCATCAATTGGTGCATGTTATGGTTGTGAAAGTTGTATAAAATTTTTGTGGGTGAAGGGAACAAGAGGTATCAAGCAATTAAGTGTAATAATTAAATGAATTGAAGCATGAAAATCATAAATTATGTAGGGGACAAGAGTGATCAAGCATGGCATGGGAATCCAAAGGGAATTCTATGTTGTTTTGCATGGCAATGAAGGCAAGTTGGGGTGACAAATTTTTGGGCTGAGTTCTTCATCTTTTGGACCATAAATTCTTCACATTTCTTGGCCCTCTTTAGTTCTCAAATTCGTCCATCCACTTTGGCCCAAATATGTGACATGCATTCCAAGCTCCATTTTGCTCCCAAAATGCATCTTCTTGCCTACTTTGTCCATAAAATCTGAAAACACACGAAAATGACTTTAAACATTAAAATAACTAAGGAAACACGACATAAATGCACAAGAACAAGCCAACTAAGTCGCATAAATATGCTCCTATCAAATTCCCCCCACACTTAGCTTTTGCTAGTCCTCGAGCAAAAACAAAGAGATAAAACGAAATAAAGTAAATAAAACACACCTAAACCTAAACCTTCCAAACAATTGCCTCAGGGATTTCCAATGCACATGACATGTTAAAAATCATTATCCCCACAGATTTGAGTCATCTTCACACTTAAAGCACGTACTTAATCATATAGTCACTACTTACTTGTTCACAATTAATCGATTAAAATAATGTTTTTGATGTAGTAACATGCCTTAGAGAAATCACTCAATTCCTTACAAGATATGCACTCAATTTTCACTCAGATTTTCTAACTACACACCTTATACTAGTTATATGTGAGAAGAAGATTGATGTAGATATGAAAACGAACGCTCACATATATGTATCACACAAAGAAAGCAATTTCTGGAGTTAATAAGCATGTTTAGATATGATCTCATGAATGGAATGCTACTACTTAGATGCGAGAACCAGTGACACCATATGCTCATATCAATTTCAAACTCCACATATTGAAACGCATGACACTCAAGATGAAGTTAAGGGTTGTAACGGGGCTTGGGGTGATGGCTAACAAATGAAGGATAAGGATAACAATCGTTCTTAAAGCAATAGCAAGTAAAGTAATGAAATTGAAACTTAGAATTCACTTAGATTGCAGAAATCAGCTTTTAGACACGAAGGGAAAATTCAAGCAATATTTAGGGCCGAATTCTATGTTTTTGGACCCTTTCTTCAACAAGCAGCACTTTAAAACTCTTTTTCGCATATTTTTCAACTCTTTTTTTTTTTTTTTTTTTTTTTTTTTTTTCAACAAGCATAATAACTCACACTTCCCCCACACTTGTTTTCTGCCATACATTAATCAAAAGAAATTCAATTTGAATCATGCTTTACTATGCTTCAAGAACAAGGGTATGGATGGTCCTAAACTAGGCTAGGTAAGGATAATGTGGTTTAACAAAGAATGTAGGCTATCAAGGCTCAATGGGGTTAACTTAAACATATAACGATATGGGATACATGGCAGTTTGGCTTTGCTGGTGGTAACTACATAACTTCATCTTGAATATGTTTTATGCAAATCAATAGCATGCTTTGAATGAAATAGGCATGAGTTCTAGCATTTGGAACTAAATGATGAAACGCCTTCTAAGTAATAACCAAGCAAAGAATAATGAGATCATGCAACGACTTTAGAAAACAAGAATGCACAGATTTTAACTCTCCAAATAAACGTTTAAGCTCAAGTCTCACAAGGTTGTAGCGTTAGTTTGAGTTCTTTCCTTCAAGCATGTTACAAAAACTAATTTTTTCTTTTTATGATTACATGTGATTTCATAAGTTATAACCACAACCACGCATAAATTAAGAGTAAATCAAACTTTCATCTATGTTTATAACTCTCTTTATCAGTCATGCAATTACAAACCGAATCCTCATCATTGTGTTGGAAGGTACCCTAAGACACAAATAAGCACACAAAAACAACTCTTTTTGGGATTTTCAAAAACAATTTTTCAAATTTTTATGAATTTTCGGATTTTTATGTCAAAACACACTGAAACACTCCAAAACAGCTTAAAAATACTTAAAACAGCAAGGAACAACACTAGAAGTAATGGGTGATAATTTTCTACGAATTTTATGCAAAACACTGGTTACCCCCCCACACTTAAATCAAACATTGTCCTCAATGTTTCAAGCATATACTCACACAAAAACAAGCAACGAATAACAGAACAAATACAGCAAAGTAACAAAAAAAAATTAGACAAAGTAGAGGTTAAGAACGCAAATCTGGTTTTTGAGATAGATGATCTTGGTGACTTTCCACAGCTTTGATCTTGAACTGGTTTGGAATTCTGAGCAGGGAATATCAGAGTGCAGTCTACATTCTTCTCTGCTTGTTTCTTCTGCACGGCGGGCAGGCACGAGGGAGAGGTGTTGGTCTGTTTCTTTCTTCAATCTTTCCAAGTGCCCACCTCTTGCTTTCTTTCTCCTTGTCCCTAGTTGAGGATGAATCAGCACGTTGTCTCCACATGCTTCGAGGTATCATCTTCACTTCCCTTATACGTGAGAGACGAAGCAGAAGCACAAGATGATGAGTACTCGAGAGCAGGTGCTGGCTGGAGAAAGGACAGGGAGAAAGCATGATATGAGATACTCGTGCTCTCAACCTTTATGATATGAAATACTTGTGCTCTGGATGGGTTGTTTGCAGG